AATCCTTAGTCAAATAGAACAATAAAGCGTTTTACGATTTAATTATAAATATCTAACCGCAGTAATGGAAAGTAAGGGAACAAACAGGCAGGCAGGCACTCGACCATTGGTTGGGCAGATAAGACAGTGGAGTGATTTATTTCAGTCTCGTGGCGCGTAAGGGCCGATTTACATCGGAATGGCAGCGGTAGCAGCGATCCGACGAGCACTTTCAGCACATGACAGCGTACACAGAGAAGCATTTCTATTGGCGATGACAAACCGTCACTGCTTACTCACACACGCGCATTTGCATTAAGCTTTATCTCTGAACCTTATTTCCTATGTGTTTTCAGTGTAAAATAATTTACCCAACTTTAATGACCTAGTACCACTTGAAAAGCTTAAAAAGGTCGCGTAACCTACCGGTGATACTAGTCTTTTATGTATTAAGATTTATTTAAAAATGATTTCACTCTGGAATTGCTCGACGCGCCCCGCTTCGCTGCCGGCCGCTGCCGTTCTGTGTGGATCGGCCCTTAGTCCGTCTGTGCCGATCATGTGCGCTGCAAATGTGGCGCCGGTTTAGTAGGCGCCACCGTTCGCTTGACGCAAATTCTATGACTATAGCAACATGTAAAGAAATTGTGGTGTTCATGTTAACCCCAAAAGATCTTTTATGTAAAAACACCGTACTCTGTTCTGAGAAAAAAAAGAGTAGCAACACCAAAACCAAGAGTAGCAAGTAGGTCTAGTCTAGTATAATCACACTAATATTATAAAGCCGAGAGTTTGTGAGTGTATATGTTTGTTATTTCTTCACGTCTAAACGGCTGGAGCGATTTTAATTAACTGCAGAAAAATATCCCTAATACACCGCGGGGCACAGCTAGTGATTATATAAATATAACTGTTTTCTCTGTTTTCTCTATTTTAAAAGAGAAAAAGAACAAGAAAAATGTTTCCTTGAAACCATAATTATGAAGAATAATTATAACGTCTTATTATTAAACTTATTGAAAACCGATTCCTAAAGGAGTCATCACTATACACGTAGATGTATGTAGAGCGAAATCTCGCGTTGGCTGATACATTTGTAATACAACAAATCGAAATCAATTTTTATCCCCTGTAGTACACTCAAACACAGCGAATCACACCGTGGACTGTTGTTGGGTTAAATCTACGGTGTGTCGTACTGTCGGAGGTGAAGAGTTTGTATATTTGTTTAAATGCGCTAATCCTAGAAACCACGGCTTCGATTTTTAAAAATATTTTTGTGTTGAATAGTGCAATGGTCGAGGAAGGCTATTATAACATCATGCTACGACGGGTAGGAGCTGAGCATCGATGAAAAATGTTGCGAGAACGGACAGAAAATATTCCATTTGAGCGCTTTCGTTGAATGCCCTGCCTAATTACACAAAAAGTTAAAATTACACAAAAATAATGTATGACGGAATTGTTCCCTTTTAAAAGTTCTATAAAAAAGTCCACAACAGCATATGTCCATCTTTTAAGTTTGACTCACTATATCCTTTTTCCTCAAAATAATCACGTTCATCTACTGTTAGGCAACACGAAGTTCGTCGGGCCATTTAGTAAATGATAAAAAAGCTTTCGTGGCTGGTTTAAGGTAGTATGGGGTTTATGTGTATAAAGTGAAATTTGATTACATCGCCACCTATTTTTTCGTTTATCTTTAGCAAGTGGCATTACATTTTTAATTGTTATTAAAAAAAACGACGGGTTGCACTCCGGGAGTGCAGCAGAATTGAAAACTTGAATATTAACGTTGTGCATTTTTGATATTTTGGAATGGTTAGGGAATAATTTTGCACGAATTGCTTTAATTATCAGTATAAAAGTACTATCATTTTTGTGATAGAATACAATATTTATTTATTGCGCTATCGTACACAAACATGACAATTTATATTACATTAAAAAGTTTATCTCTCAGAAAAATCAACTTACATGAATCACATTTAAGCGCACCTAGCGACATCTTTTGTAAAAAAAATGCATTTTCTTCGCAATCAAGCTGCCACCTGGGCATCCTAATTAGAGACTTATTATTATAATATGATAAAATAAAATATTACTATGTTTCGTCCAATATATTGGAAGTCAATACCCTTTAAAATTTTATTGTTTTCGTCTTACGAATTTTCTATTAGGTCACGTATCATGACGCGAATTTAACAGTTTTTACCCATTACAAAAAAGTGTACAACGCCGCTAAAGAAGTTGAAAAAATTAAACCATATTAACAAGCGTCGGTGGTTCAGTGGTCGAAAGCTGCTACGCGGGCGCGGGCGGCCCGGGTCAATCCGAGCCTAGCCTTTTTTTATATATGATTTTAAAAGTTTCACTTGCAGCAAGGTTTCTATAAACCACACATTTTTTTAAACAAGCAGCATATTGCTTAGCTCCACCTGATGTTAAGTGTAAGGGAGTCCAAGGCGAAGATAGTTGGTGCTGCGGCAAAAAAGTGTGCCGCTCCAGACATCTTTACTTTGCTCAACTTACCAACAAAACGAAGTATAAATGTAGCGAGCTCTTCAGTAAGGTGTAGATTCCCCTGACAGGCGCTCCAATTCCAGCGGAAAATGTGATTTGCATGATTAATTTCCAGTTAGATACGTCCTACTGCATCTAAACAATTCAATATTAAATTTGTGTAAATGTGCTAAACTTATGTTATCTATGTACCAAGTATTTAACGATTTTTCACGGTAAAAGAAAGAAGTAATCTCTTATTGTACAACTATTAATGCTTTAAGCACAATATAACTTCGTTATTACGTGGAATTCCATTGGTCGGTAATGATTGCTTCGCTATCGCAGTAACCACGTTCTAATTGGCGGCAAGTTATCTCCAGCCAGAAGCTTAGACGGTAGCGATTGCTTGGCAAATTGCGCAGTCGCCGGCCGAGCAACGAATTCCCTGCCCATACCAATTACAATACCAGGAAAGATAGCCCATTTCCTTTCCCCGCGCACCAGACATAACGAGATCTGATTCGCAGACGTCAGTTTCAATTTGCTAACGAGTGAGGAACATGTCGTGGCTTTAGTAGATAAAGATCATGGCCTGCCGCCCGTGTATTATCCAATGTAAATTGCAACTAAGAAAGCAAGTATCGCAGACAAGTTTGACTCACATTAAATGGCAACTAATATTGATTATTTACTCAAGCATTGTCTTGTCAAATGGTTACATTGAAACCTGTTCTCAAATGAAGAGCAACAACAAAACTACGAATTTGAAATGAATTTAGTACTTGTTGCAAGTAGCACAAGTGAAAATATTGATTTATCAACATTGCTAGAATTCTTGTGCATATTGACTGTCGTTTGAAAGAGAGAGTAGACAAGTAGCAGTTGCGTGTGTACGTCTCAATAATAATACAGTTGTTTATTTGATCTTCACGCACGCGTCTTTTGTATTTGCTACACCTTGAAGCAACAATGTTCGATAGAATGCGCTGTGAATTAAAAAAGGATAATTGCTGGAGCGAGCTCGTGCTGAATGGGCTGCCCGCGCCGCATTGTGTGGCTAACGAAGGGTATGTGCAGGTAAGGTGGTCGTGAGTCCATAAATTCTTTGCCGGCCGGCGGCGGCGGCGTCCGCGCTCATCCACGGACCCTCAACAAAGCGCTGTCATTTCACGCGCTCACGCTAAAGCGGGTTGCAGACCGAAAACTAAGCTATTCCTAAGCTAAACTAAGCCAGCTTAGCTATGCTAAGATAAACTAAAAATATGTCCCGTGCATACCAAGAACTAAGGGAAAGCTCAGTGAGTGTTGCGAATTTTAATTCGACGGGCGTCTCTCGCCATGAATATAATCGATGAAGAAAGCTCCGATGATGAATAAGTTACACATAGAAAAAGAACACTGACTTATTATTATCTAATGATGACCTCCGTGGCCGAGTGGTATGTACGTCGGGTTTCAAGGTGCCGCCTACTCGAGGGCCCCGGGTTCGAATCCCGGTGGGGGCAGATGTTTGTGTGATGAATACGAACATTTGTACTCCAGTCATGGATGTTAAATATATATTTCTATCTAAATATACTTATATATGTATCAGTTTATGCATTATATCCGTTGCTCTAGTATTCCATAACACAAGCCTACAGTGCTTACTTTGGAGCTAGAACAAGTGATGGAAATATTTATTTATCTTAAGATAACATTGCGGACCTTGGGTATGTCAACTCTTCCAATTTCGGAAGGGGCTTAGCTTAGCTCGTGTAGCTGTGCATCGGCATACATGACTAACTCAGCTTCGCATATTTTAGTTAGCTCATATAGTTTGCATAGTTTGCACCCTGTACATAAATATGAAAAACTGCGTCATCTATGCGAGCTAAGCTAAACTTAGCTTAGCTCTTGGTCTGCAACCCGCATATATATTCACCCTCCAGCTATTTGATCGCTTTCTTCTACGGGAAGCAAAGTGTTTACCAAACATGGCCAACACCGACTGAGACGAATCACTGGTTGCTAATATCGTAATTACCGTAAAAGGCTTAGTCGTTTCTCAGCTCATTCGATACGCCATAAGCCAATAAATTAGTCGGGAGAGCGATTATGAAATCGTGTCATTATGCACCTTACTTTAGAATAAACATATCTTAATTTATACTCTTTTATTTTATACTAATTTGGTAACAATTTAGTTTTTTTTTTTATATTCACTTATTAAAATTCCTTTTAAGATACCCTTTAAAAAACATAGAACGATTTCAAATGCATCCATTTTTTACTATGTTTCGCGAAACTAAGTTACCGGAGAGAATTAGCGAGAAATCGGCTAGCCACATAAGTTATCCTTTACGATGATTTGAAAAAAATTATATACTAACAATGTAGGAGATATTGCAAAAATTCGTTATTATCGTATGCCTACCTTTCATTTTATTACTAAGTATACCTTATGGGTATTTCGATTGTTGTATTTTTGTATTGCTAAGGATAGAGTGTAATGTTAGTTTTCCCATTTATTGCAGAAAGAGGGTGTGCCGCAGGCGCACACATTCCGCAGTAAGTCCTTCCGCAAGCCGCGGCCCTGCCAGTGGTGCCACCAGCCGGTCCATACCCAGGGATCCTGCTGTAGAGGTAAGTTAGATCTCACCAGTCTTCTAGTCTGCTCTGAACACTGCACAATTCACGTCGCAGTAACAAAAGGCACGTTTAAAGAGGGTCGAAGGTTGTGTATACGATAGTACACCTGCGCGAAGCAACTTCAGAGCGGGCTAGAAATTTGGCGCGATCTGTACCTACGCCTTAGATTAAAACAAAAAAGCGCTTTTTTGTTTTTATCTAAGACCTACGCATTTCTTTCAAGCAATTAATTGGGTACCTACTTAATTATGAACTCATTTTTTAAAATAGATTTTCGAAAAGTTTTGTTTAATTATGGACGTTCTAAAATTAATGCCACATCGGATTTACTAATAGACAGACAACTTTTCTAAACTATTCTAAGTGCGAATTAATTGAAAAATCAATCGAAACAGGTTTTTGTGTCTCTGTAACTGCTTTAAATCAAGACAAAAGCTTTAATTTGAAAATACTAATTTCTGATGGGTTTTTTTCGAGAAAAAAATATGTATTTATTTATATAGAAAATAAATAATTATTAACATCTGTTCATCATAATAAAAAATACCTTGCAATATTTGCGAGCGAATATTAACGATTGATCTTCAGAATTCTCTAGAATTCCTTTTAGTGTTATATGCTAACTCCAAATATAGGTACTTACTTAATGTAGTTTTGTATTTATCAACGTTGCCTGGATTATAATAAGTATTTCTTCATCCAAATTAGCTTTGGGTTTGTTTTAACAATTAGTTAATGTAGTAGTAGTAGTTTCCCATTGAAAAGTGGGATTAGTAAAAATAACTGCCACTTTAGAAACTGGGAAGAAAACACTTAAAAATGAGTTTTCATTGAGATTTGCTAGAACGATAAAAATTAAGAAAGAAAGAACGTACGGCGTTCTTGGCCTATTGCGGAAGTAGCCGCGGTCTCACAAAATCTAAATATTTATAAAGCTGTATGAATTAAAGATACGAACTCTTCAATGGGCAATGAACGGTGTTCGTTCGAGTTGTACCTACTTGTAACATCGGTCCAAAGATACATTTTGTACCAGCTGACATTCAAAGGTCACAACAGGAGGTACAAGGAGTTCCAGTTCAGATGAAATATTATCAAATGTCACGCTTAGAAATTGGTCGTGTCACATTATGTACTTACAATTTGCTTTTACGGTTGACTTTGACAGGAGTCTTGATATGTAATTGCAGTGACTTGGCATTCTTCAATATTTTTTTTGGACATTTTATTTCGTGTTTCGGTTTTGAAAAGTTCATCAACATGTCATGATAGAAGTTGGATTCCTAATGTTTCTCTTTACTTTTCTTTGAAAATGACCTACATAATAATATGAGACGTTTACGGTGCCATAATTGAACGATGTTAGTAACTATATTTCGTTAATTGTATTTATTTCTTTCTTTCAGCACACTTATCGTAGATACCTTCTTAATGTTTATTCAGTTGTTAAATATTTTAACAAAGGGAAAGTTACCGTTTCACAGTCCGTTATGTTAAAGTGGTAATGTGGCCTTTTTTACAGTAGCGCAACTTCTTGGAATTCCCCAAAAGACTTTTAATTTAATCTGGCTAATAAAAAGTTTGGAATTGATCAAGAAAATTTGACGCTTTGTGGTAACTTGATATGATGTGGCTGCTCGTTCATTGTACTGTATACAAACAGATACTTTTCTATTACACGATATTCGAAAACAAAACAAACAACCATAAATCGTATTTGTTGTTAGGGATGCTGTTGATAAAGGTGGTGGATATTATTTTTTTATGCATTCGATGAGGGTGAAATATAATATCATCGGATGCATTAGGAAACCTGTCCTATTTAACCAATGATATAAGATTTTACCATCAATGAATGCATAAAATTTATGTACAAAAACATTATCACTCATTCATATTTTGTTACCGTCATATATTTCTTTCCAGGCAGTTTTGTCCATTCCATTTAGCCCAAAAGATTGTACATCATCATATAGCTGGAATTTTAATGGCTATTTATTTTTGCCTAAATAAGACAGCAAACCCCATAATTAAAACAACTCTGCATAAAGTTGTGACAACTTACCAAAGCTCATCGGAGAGGCGAGTTCAAAACCGTTTCTTTTGATATAAAGAATATAAAAGTGCCGTTAATTATCATGGTGTAGTCAAACTTTTTAAAATAGGTCCATATTGTAAATAACCATCACTGAAAACACGTTGCGTATTTAAAACGGAAAATTCAAAATTTTGTAGAAGAGTTAAATGCAGTTTCTTATCAAAACAAAATCTAACGTGAACGTTCCGAGTGGAATAATTCCAATGTTCCTACTGAAAATGGAATATAATTTACATAGTAATTTGTTTGTTTCAGTGTGCAAATATGTCTGTCACGCGGCATGTGAGAGCAAGGTACGTACTTTAAACACAAAAAATACTTACACAAAATTATATATAAGAAAGTGAGATAAATATTCAAGTGTATTTTAATAAAGTAGATTTAAGGTTATTTTCAATAGAGTTTCATACCATTGTAATTTTGAGTATTAAATCATTACAAAAAAAACATTTTTTATACGTTACATTACAGTAGTAAGTAGCGACATCTATAGTCAGTTGTAGATCGCTACACCCGTAGCTACAATGTGGAGTAGCATTGTTACGTAACCGCTATAATAGAATCGTTTCGTAGCAGTCAGTTGTCATAAATAGCTCGAGATGGCGTTAGTTGCGCGATGACTCAGACTTACTCCATGTCTCAATAAGCGTGCACTTTTTAATTTTAAAATAAAAACACGTATTTTTTGAGAAAGTTGTGTATTTTTTATTGGATTGTGAGAAGACATGTTCCGATTATGTATGGACTAAAATATCAGTCAAATGGCCCGCCCCCATGGCTCTGATGACTGATGACAGGCCATTACTGCATCTCACCTATGACGCGTCGGATCTCGGATTTGAGCCCAAGAATGGTTCAACTGTCACAATCTCACAATACTCCAAAAAAAATTTTTTTACCTGGCGGTGTGATTGGACCGTAATTTTTTGAAATTATCAGAACATACTCTAATATCAACACCAAGATCATGCGATTTAACGCCGTGTATTTTTTTTCTTCGGGGTTGAGTAAAATCTTGGGTTTATGCCAATAAACCAGAAACATTTCTTGTCAGAAACAATTCCTTGTCATTGGTGAGCTACATGTCTGTGAAAAGTCATGGATATTTTAACGAAAAGAGCAATGGCCTGTTTTCAGGGCCGAGAAGGCCATTTGACAGATATTTTATTCCAATCGGAACATGGAATCCAATAAAAATATCACAACTTAATAAAAAAAAACATGTGTTTTTATTTTAAAATTAAAAAGTGCACTCTTATTGAGAAACCCTTAACTAAAGATAATGAATGATGATTGAAAGTTTAAGTTCTCGGTAATCCTAATAATTCTAGAAAAATCTGGCAAATTTATAAAGTGGGCTGAGAATAATGTCATCAATTTTCATTTAATATCTCTATTAATTTTGAATTTTAGAAAATCTATTTCATTATGCTTTGGTTATTTCGTTATTATGTATGACATTGATGAATAAAAACGCGTAAGTATTAAGAAACGTAAACAAAATTGACTCAGCTACGATACGATCCCACTGTTTATTTATATCCCATTAATAAAGACTTCTATTCAATTCTCGTACCCGTACAACGTCGCCATTACTAGCGGTATTGTGAATTTCGTGACACAAACCGGGCGTTTGGCATTCTGTAAGCGCTTTATCCGGCTTATTTAAATTTATTCATAAAATTGATAATAGGCCCTGCGCTCGTAGAAGCTGGTTTGTTTGATGGCAATCACGTGGTCTCGGGTCACGCTTCCATTGTTCCCTGTCGCGCCAAAATTGGACTTTAGACAAACAATATATGCCCGCTCAATCAGTTAGTAATATTTTGTTGCAAATTTGCAACTTGTAGCTAGGTTATTTCTTCCTACTCGGTTATTCTGGTCCTGATATTAAGATATTTTCTAAATGATGAATCTCTAATGAGAATTCAAATGGAAGTTAAAAAATATGCTAAACTCGCAAAAAATAAATATGGGGGAAAAAAATTAAAGAAACAATTAACAAGGTTGCCTTGTCAGTCAAAAAGCGAATCAAAAATCGCAACGAAGTAATTGGAATCGGGGCATCATTCTGCAGTACTCTTAGCACGAACCAAAATCGAATTCGAATAGTTTGCGAGTGCGAAATGTCATTGTTACGCTTAGAAGAAAAGAAAAAATCGGGTTGCACTCCGGGAGTGCCGGCAGAAGGGAAAACTTGAATATTAACGTTGTGCATTTTTGATATTTTGGAATGGTTAGGGAATAATTTTGCACGATTTGCTTTAATTATCAGTATAAAAGTACTATTATTTATGTGGTAGAATACAATTTTTATTTATTGCGCTGTCGTACACAAACATGACAATTTATTTTACATTAAAAAGTTTATCTCTCAGCAAAATCAACTTACATGAATCACATTCAAGCGCACCTAGCGACATCTATTGTAAAAAACATGCATTTTCTTCGCAATAAAGCTGCCACCTGGACGTCCTAATTAGAAACTTATTATTATAATACGATGAAATAAAATTTTATTATGTTTCGTCCATTATATTGAAACAACGACCTTTCCAATTATATCGTTTTCGTCTTACGAATTTTCGATTAGGCCACGTATCCTGACGCGAGTTTAACGTTTTTTACCCATTACAAAAAAGTGTATAACGCCGCTAAAGAAATTTTCACTTTAAAAATGCGTGCGCGGGTTACCTAAACACGCCCTAAGGTTTCCAGCGCTCTACGTGATAGTTAATGCGCGAGTGCTACTTTTGCTAAGTTGCCAAAAGTTTTTACATAAATATACTAAGCTCTGCAGATGTTTCTGAGTCTAAGTTTCAGTAAATCTTTTTAAAATATTTAGTAGGTATAGTACCTACAGGGACCAAAAAAACTCCATTATTAGCTATGAGCAGTAGTTATTATCTCATAAAATCGGCGATGCTTAAAGTCGAATATTTAATTGATTAACGTTGAAATTGAACGTTCATTACATTATTAATTTTAAATTAAGCTTCACGGTGAATAACATCCGCATAAACCCGTTCAGTTACATTTGAGATGAAGTTGGAATCAACAAATTAATGTCCCGATCCGTCGCTTGAAAATCGAGTAAAGTTATTAATTATATCTAAATGAATTTGTATTAAAGAAGTTTCATTAACAGAAGGAATGAAATGTTAAATTAAAGCCGTTGGATTCTTTGAGCTAGTTGTATTAACCCTCGGTAATAGCAGCTAGAAGGTAGGTAAGTACCTATTCACAATATTACCTTAGTTTTTTTTTTTTTCATAATGTTTTTATTCGATTATTTACAATATGTCTTTTTAATTATGTTATTTTAATCAAATTTCAACATGTTAAATAATATACTGTCCGTGCTCGAGGCTGCTATTTGATACAGCCAGGGGCACGGGCAGAAGTCTGAAAGAGGAAGCATAGAAGGATAGTAAAGTAAAAGGTATACAAGAAAATAGGGTGGTGAAAAACAAAGTAAAGAAAAGTTAATTCACATTAGTGGCGTTAAATATAGCCAATCACAGGCACACTTCTGAAGCTGGGAGGGTGGAAGCAGCCAATTCGAAGCGAACGCGTAGTGCTTTGGTTACCTTAGTTTTAAATCAATATTCTCTTCTCTTTTCTTTAAAATCTCACTCAATTCGACTGGCATATATATTTTTTTATGTTAAAATAGTGGCAAAGAAGCTTATGACCCGCCTGATCGTAAGCAGCTACGTTAACGTTGACTACTGTGACCCAATCCCCTACCCTGAAGAACCCCTATATTTGATATGAATACGATAAATAATAAATAAATATTTCCAACACTCACACCAAATTAGTCTAGTCCTAAAGTAAGCATTGTAAGGCTTGTGTTATGGGATACTAGGGTAACGGATATAATACATATACTGTACATATATAAGCATATTTATATAGAAATACATATTAAACATCCATGACTGGAGTACAAATTCTCATATTCATCACACAAACATCTGCCCCCACCGGGATTCGAACCCGGGACCTCTCGAGTCGGCGACACCTTGAAACCCGGCGTACAAACCATTCAGCCACGGAGGTCGTCAATCGATATTTTAGTCTCTCGCTTTCGATTCGTTACCGTGTAGGTTTAGTTTTTGGGCAGTTATTGTTCTTTTACATGGTTACGGCAAAATATAAACTGATAAAGAAATACGCATGTAAATAAATACTTTCAGTAGTTTTTGTTATCATGGCGAACATACAAACAGACAGACGCGACGGGGGACTTTGTTTTGTTTCAGAATAAATAGTATTTATCACCCAGAGAATAATTACGAATTTATTGATTGATCGATATCTCATTCATACAATGTAATGTTCCAAGGTTCAAGGGTTTTTTTGAAGTGAAAACTTCTTTAGCGGCGTTGTACATTTTTCTTTGTATGGGTGGGTAATGTTAAACTCGCGTCAGGTTAAACGCGTGGGGTGATCGCATCATGACACACGATAAAATTGGAAAGGTTGTTGACTTTCAATATATTGGACGAAACATAGTAATATTTTATTTTATCGTATTATAATAATAAGTTTCCTTCTAGGACGTCCACGTGGCAGCTTTATTGTGAAGAATATGCATTTTTTTCAATAGATGTCGCTAGGTGCGCTTAAACGTGATTCAAGTAAGTTGATTTTTCTGAGAGATAAACTTTTTTAATGTAATATAAATTGTCATGTTTGTGTACGATAGCGCATAAATAAATATTGTATTCTACCACATACATGATAGTACTTTTATACTGATAATTAAAGCAATTCGTGCAAAATTATCCCCTAACCATTTAAAAATATCAAAAATGCACAACGTTAATATTCAAGTTTTCACTTTTGCCGGCACTCCCGGAGTGCAAGCCGTCGTTTTTTTTTTATAGATAGGTCCGACAAATGACTCCAGCCCACCTGATGTTAAGTGAAGGTGAAGTCCAGACGCGAAGATAGCTGATACAGCAGTTCTACCTGCCACACCAGCCATCCTCACCCTGCTGGCCTGCATGTTGCTTCTTCTTAGGGGATTGGGTTAGTTAGAGTAGGCAACTTTGCGAGTGATATTTTTTGTTTCGCAAGCGTCTATAGACTATGGTGGTCGCTTACCATCAGGGGGTCAAACGCTTGTTTGCCATCCTTTTAACATAAAAAGTATATATATATATTAAGCATGTAACTGCTTGATGTTTAAATCTAAAGAAAATATAACTAGAAAAAAATCCACGTGGACCAGGCAGGCAGGCAGCTTTGTTTAATACTTGTAAAAGTATTCATTTGACATTGT